TATTATATCGGTATTATAATATTATAATATCGATATAATACTGATATAATTTTTTTTTTATAAGTTTATATATATATATGTATTGGGTTAGAGGAAATGTTCTGCGGATTTTTTAGCTTAAAATTATATACAGAATATATTCGTTGCGAAATTTGAAAGCTTAAAATTTTTCCTAAAAATTTGTTTTTAAAAAATGTTCCTACGATTTTTTTGTTAGCGAATTACAGGCGTTAGACAAAAAAGCATTCTGACTTTGATTGCCCTTAACTTAATTAGGAACAAAAAACTTATAGGAACATTTTTAAAAAATGATTTTATAGGAAAAGCTTTCATGGTAGATAGTCGAAAATTTTCGAAAATATTTTTTGAGCACATGAAAGATCCAAAGTGAAAAGAAAATTTTTTATCTTTTTCAGCTTGTAGGTTTTTTTATATGTACAAATTACTATATTCACAGAAACTCAAAAAATATAGCAAAAATATAGCTTTTCGAAAATAGAGATTTCAAGCTTTAAAAGTCTTTTTTTTAATTTAAATTTCGTTCATTTTTAAGATATTGTATGTATAATTTTGAACTGAAAAAAATCTGCAAAACTTTTTCTTTGATCCAAAATATAACTTTAAATTAATTTTTTTTATTATTTTGATCAACTAGCTAATTATATTCAAATAGTATTTAAGAATATAAGTGGTATTTTTCATAAATAGATACATTATGACTTAAATTGCATTTAAATAAATTGTATCGCGCCTGATAATCTGGATATTGATTAAACAGAATTCGCCTTGTATGAATCGATAAACAAGCCAAATATGATAAGAAAAAATCGATTTTGATCCTGCGAATTGTTGAAAAAAAGTTACAAAACAAAATAATAAGGTTTTGTTATTGTAAAATGCTTATCAATGTTGTACATATTGTACATCTATATACGGATTGTACATATAATACAAGAGTTTATTATATCAATTACATATATTACATAAAAACATTTATTAAAAAATACAAAATATTGCCTTATAATGAATTTTAATAGTGATGAAACTTATATTTTTTAATATTTAAATTACTTTTTTTATCTGATTACGTACTTTTTTTAATTAGATTGTGTAACATTAATTGCTGTCTTTTCATCGCAAAAATGAGACGTGTTTAAAAATTGTATTAAGATTATTAGGTTCGTGGTAATATTACCCACTATCTAAAAATTAATGTAAGCAATAAACCTTTTATTAAAACAAATAATTATAAGTAATTACTAATGCGAGAAAAGTAGCATCCACAGTCAGATCTTTTATCGAAAATATATTTTTGCAATATTTGTATAGAAAACAGCTGCAACTGCAATATCAAATTTTCAAATAATTATATGAAAGAAATAATAGAATAATTATACTTTTAAACTAATCAGAGATCATAATTATACTCAGATTTAGATTAGACTTATATTCAGATTTTATTGTGTTATTATAATATAAATTATATTTTCAAAATAATATGTAAATAATATAATCTTATTTTCGTATTTCTTTACCTCATTTTTTATCTGCTCATCATTGATATTGTTAAGCAAACATGAACAGTAGTGCTGATTTCTTGCATGATTTTCTCCTCTTCGGACATGATTTTTATTAGTCTCGCAAGCCCATATCAATAATGTTATTTTTATAATGTAACATCCTATTGATGTAAAGTATGAAAATGAACTGCTTATCAATGTTAATTAATATTCCATCCTGCAACGTACTGCAGAATAAATTTTGAAAATGATAATAGAAAAAGTTGTGACTATATATAGTAGCAAGAAATTGCAAACTGAAGATTACATTTAATATTTGCATTCCCTAATCATCAGATATTGCTTTTTCAAGATTTTGAGTTCTATCAGTAAAAATTGATTTCTCTGCATTTGACAGGTTAACGTTGATACACGTGGCTTAACTATGATTTTTTGCAAGTGTGCCATTCTCATCAATTCTCTTGAAACAGGCCTTCAAAGTACATACACAATTTATATATAGCGTATTTATCTCGAATTCCAGAAGAATTTGGTATAAAATGAACATCATGCACAGGATAGATGTACAGTTTTTACTCAAACAAATATTTAATATTTAATAGTTAATTCATTTATATTGCTGACAAGTCCAATATGGCCTGAACAATAACAAACGTATTCATGAAACCAGTCACAATTGCTACGAAATTAGCGAGCATGTAATAATTATTACGCTCGAGAATTCTGAATACCCTTATTATTATCTTTCCAGAAATGTGAATCTCATACAATATTATCAACTCGCAAATTTACAATGCAACTTACAATATTACAACAAACGTAGATAATAAGGTTCATAGAATGAAAAGCGGTTTGTAAATCTCAAAAGTTGAAACATCGATTCTGTATGAAATTCCGAGGATGCGACAGAATTAGATGAAACAAGGCTACATCAAGGATTCAAAGTTTGTACGTGAAACAATTGTTATCGTTTCTGTATTTTATCCTTGGCCCGTTTGTAGAATTTTGACGAATAATTGAATATTTTCATTATGGAGAACTTCAATCTAAGCTATTGATGTACAATTTAAAAATTAATCCTATTATCAATACACTATAAGTTATTAATTATTTCAGTTATTAATACAC